AGAATAAAGCAATGTTTAAATTAGCAAGACACTGCACCATATTCCACCTAAGAATATCACTGTGCAGCAGAGTGAATTCAGAAAGTATATTTACAGTGGAATCCTATATACAGTACAACTTCTTGAGCTCAATGGGACTAACTCCCAATTAAGTGTGTATAGGATTGTCTTCTTAAGAGTCTACAACTTTCTGTTTGCACCTGAATCACAAGAACAACTGGTGTGAGAAACATTCACCTGACAGAAGAACATGTGCCCAGCTCCAAAGCTAAGTGGTGTATTCCAGGAAGATATGCCATTGTTAAGTTACCCATAATGGAGACAGAATGTTGGCAGATTCTGCAGCTGCAGCAGAGTTGTGCTAAACTGAACATCCTCAGGTCAGCCTCACACTGCAACATTTAGGACATCTTACCTTGGGAGAGAGTGGCAATGAAATTGTGTGTATCTCTGTCCCTTCTAGCGTTTGTGAGGAATGTAGACAGGGTGACTCCTTGTCTCAATCCAATGTCTGAAACCCTGAAGAGCTGTTGCAAGCTGGTGTAGACAGTGTGGAGGTAGGTGGACCAATGGACTGACTTAGCTTAAGGTAGGTTATGTTATGTGTTCCTATGAAATTAGGTTTGTTAAAAACCTTACCCTTGAGCAGGGCTACACTTTCTTACTGGCCTTGATTTGGGGCCTCTAACAGATACCTGATCAGGTGAAGCTTTTACTGGCATGGAGATAAATAACGTGAAACACTTCATGTGCTTTCCGTGTGTTGGGGTCAAATGAGATGTGATCCTAAAAGCGCCACCAGCATCTATGTCAGGTTTTTATTTTTTTATACATATAAAATAAAATGATCATTGGGACCACAGTGCACTAGGAGGGCTAGCCATGATCGCCATGAAAACTGTCCCTGTGCTATTCTGGGTGGTTGCAGCCTAAGTCTGCCCCCCCACCAGTTTTGCTGAACTACAAAACTTGTGGTCCCCCAGAGTCTGATGATACCTCTCTCTTATGTGTGGGTGTTGCCAGTTTGACTACATAAGGATGGCCCTTACCCCCCAAATACTGCTAACAGAGGAATGAAGGACTATGTAGAGGTGCATTTACACAGGTCTCTATAGGAATCTAAGTTTTTGAATCTAAGTTTGGCCTCATTGAGGGGCAGTATTTCAATATGAGGAGGAAAATGAGAGTAACCCCTAAACATTTTTTTAAAAGAAAAAAAGCACTGGGCCTTTGAAGCTGGACTCTTCTTCACCATTTAGATCATGTAGAGCCAATGTAGAGCCCTACAGATTTTGCTGGATTCCACCTCTCATCAGCCCCAGACTGCATGGCCAATAGTCAGGGAAGACGGGAACTGGCGTACAACAACATCAGAAAGGCATCATGTTGGCTTCCTCCAATCAGATAATTGGGGGCCAGGATTTCCCCATCATTCCATGAATGTAGAGATGACAGTATAGAAATGGAGCATGCTTAGTTGCTACCATTTCTGCATTTTGCTCATAATTTTGGGGGACCCAGTGTTCCAGAAACACGTAAAACACAGCGTTGGCTTTTACTTGAGCCTGACTTTTTGAAAACTTGGGTTCCATTTCAGATGGAGCTAACTTACATTAAAATGCTTAATTTCCGTGAATCCTGGGATGGAAGATAAACTTGTCATCCCTGAATGTATTTCATGAAAAACTAATTATTTGGCTTCCTCTCTTAACAATGGTCCTTAATGTATGGAATTATGTCAATACAACATCTGACTATATGCGTAGGACACTGTTTGATCCTTCTCAGAGATGAATGCCCTTGGTTTCCATTGAATTTGGAATAAATTGTAAGTTCCTTCCCAGAGAATAAAATGCCCGCTGCTTTTTACTATATTGAATACATGGCCAACTCTCAAACAAATAATAAAAATCACAGCAATGAACATTTGTGCCAATAAAGCGAAAGAATTCTGCCCAGTGGGCTATATATTTTTATTTAATACAAGTCGCTTGGGTCATTTACCCAATGTCTATCTATAGTTTTCTCCTTCCCTTTCTTTTCCTGAGGAATTATGCCTAGTCTTATGAAGGAAAAAACTGACAAATAAATGACATGAGCTGTAACATTATAATATGAGGGACTTTGACTGCACTCTAACAGAGGCATAATGATGCAAAACAAGGCAGATAAGAGAGTCATAATGGTACCAACCAGTAGACTCTTTAGGGGGAAAGCCCAACAAAATGCAACCCAACTTTATTTTAAGTAGTCCTATTCAGGTCCTCTTATTATAAGCTGGTATTATTTCCTGGGATACAGCTCAATGTGGGAGCACATCGTTAATGATGTGTGAGAAGTCATCCCGCTCTTCTGTAATTTGAAGACTTGCTGCCGAAGGTGTGAGCTGCCTCTGTTGAAAAGGACTTGTGGTTGAGGCGATGCATGATGCAAGCCCTGTCTACGCCTGAGGTGTTCGATTTATTTTAAACATGCAAATCACCTCAGTGAGTAAGGGATATGTGACTCTGAACTCCTCCCAAGGGACCTTGTGCTGTGTGAGAGGGAGAGTCTGCAAAAGGCAGCACCCCTTTTGACTTGTTAGCTTTCTCACAGCCTGTGGAACAATGTGGGGACAGATGAAAGTTCTTCTGAGAACGAGCTTAGAAGTCATCATCATCATTATTTATTAAATTTCCATACTGCCCTTTATCCGAGGATCACAGGGCAGTTTAAAACATCAACACAAAAATGCACAACACAGTAACAAACAAAAATAATAACACTCCCCCCCCCTGCCTAGTTTTAAATGCCATAGATTGTGTAACTAGCCAAAGGTCTGGGAGAAGAGGAATGTTTTTGCCTGGTGCCTAAAGATATGTAATGAAAGTGCCAGGCGAGCCTCCCCGGGAGAGCATTCCACAAGCTGGGAGCCACCACAGAAAAGGCTCGTTCTCGTACTGCTGACCTTTCATGGAGGAGGCAAAAAAAGAAGGGCCTCAGAGGATGGTCACAAGATCCGGGTTGGTTCAGGGTCCTCATCAATAAAACTGGAATTATACTCTAGTGATGTTGCGGGGGTGAAATAAGTCTTTGTTGCTCACACCTTTACTTTAAAGAGGGTTATTCAAAAAGTGGGCACACTGCTTTGCTATATAACAGAAGGTCTGAGTTAAATCTGCCTATAGTCAAAAGAGTTTTGATTTGTCTATGTATTATTTCAATCTTTCCTTGGCCCCCAATGATGCTTTGCAGAACTCAGTCTGATTGGATGGATGTCAAAGGTAGGAGGGACCCAATAAATTTGCATTTAAATTTAGACAGATTATGTGTGTGTATACTATATAGACTCCCCCCCCAGCAGCCAACTAGTAAAAGCTTTGAGTTTCTAGAATGGGTCACATTAACTTTGTATCATACCATTATCATACAAGGATATTTGTCTCAGATTTGAAATGATCTATTGGCCTAGCTGCATCCTTTTGCACCGATACTCATTCCTGATCAATTGGACCTCGCTTTTCTCTGCCCATTCTCTCCCCGCTCCCCCCTCCATTTATATTTTCTCTTTAAGATGCTCCTCTTTGCCTTCTCGTTTTGGCCACTGTGTATATATATATATATATATATAGAGAGAGAGAGAGAGAGAGAGAGAGAGAGAGAGAGAGAGAGCTGTCTTCCTCACATCCACATGCTACACTCCTATTCCTTCCTTTGACATGTAGCTTTCTCAGTTTCCCTAAACTCCTCCTGCTTCTTTCACCCCTCTTTTTAGACCCCACCTCTGCTTGCCTTGAGCTCCTTAAAAATTGAGCATCTCAACCAATGGCAAACACACCCCTCTCTGGCATTAAGGGTAACTCAAACCAGCAGAGATGTTGGAGATCTGTGATTGAGTTTGATACATCCTTAATGCTTTACTTTATTTTATTGGTAATAAAAGGAACTCTCCCTCCATTCTAATCAGGAATGCTATGCTGTGAGGAGGACAGCTGAGCCCCCTTCCCCTGTGCCATCTACCTCCCCCCCAACCCCCCCCCCCCACTTTCCCTTCACTATCTCCTATGTGCTCTCTTTTAAAAATAAAATATCCATGCCAGTTTCTTCTAATGGGGTGAACAGTAGTTTCAGTGGTAGGGTAGGGCCAGAGAAAATATTAACTCCTGCCCGCCCTACAGGGCCCTGGTGCTGATGTAACTCCTCTGTGCCCTGGTGGCTACAACAAAATCCCTAAATGGATTGCGGCATGGATTTATATTGATAGGATTTCCGCTCGCTACTGATTAAAACACAGCAATCTTCTTTCACGTAAGAAAGGTGTAAATAGGAATATTACATAACCACAAAGGAAGAAGGGTGTTGTTAGGAACTCTGTCGTGGATGGAAAGGCAATTCAGAAACTAGCAATATTTCCCTGAGGCAACAAACAACAGATCCAGCCACAGAATAATAGAAATGCAAAACAATTAGCCAACAACAACAAAAAGGCTTACAGAGCAGTGGAAAATGTAACCATACATTCCATGAAGGAACCGGATCTTGTGTTACCTCAGGTATTCTGGATGTGTCTAAATCATAAATTATTTTTATCTCTTTCATCATAATAAGCCACTGCCACAGGGCATGCTATTTTTGGAGCAAGAGAATAGGCCGGTGAAACACACGAGTGACAACAAGTAGCAGGTTTTAACAAAACATGATCCTCCCATATGTGAATAGGGTTTTGGCAGTGATGTTTGACAGCCATTAGAGGGGAATAATTTTCCTACCTGAGATAGCCTTTCCTTTTCCCTTTGTTTGCTAGCTTGAAAAATCCAAATTGTAAATGCAAAACCAAATGCTTGGTTGGTAAATGTACTTTGCTGATGATGTTCCAGATGAAGTGCAAAGCCTTTCTTTTTTTCAGTCAGCTTTGAGGGTGCAAATTATTATAGTCACCTGCTGCGTTGCCAGCCATAGAACCATAGACTCAGAGTTGGACCAGGAGGATCATCTAGTCCAACTCCCTGCAGGAATCTTTTCACCTAACGTGAGGCTCAAAACCACAACCCTGAGATTAAGAGTCTCATGCTTTATCAACTTAGCTATGGTTTTTATATATATCCTGGCTATTACCAGCATTGGCCTGCACACTTGGGTGGAGCTGTGGAGCCATCTCCTTGACACCATCATTGCTGCAGCAGAGCAGTGAGGTCAGGTCTGCATGAGCCCAGTGGAGGAGTTAATCCAGTGCTCCTGCAGGCATGCCCCATGAGGACCTGACCTTGCAGGCACCATGCCCTATCCAGACCAGGTAAGTTGCAGCAATGTTGGTGCTGAGAGGGTGGCTCTGCCCTACCACACAGACTACTTACTGCCAGTTAGTCATACCTTGGTTGTTGAAAGCCTTGGTTCGTGTACGTTTTGGCTCCCAAGCGCGAAAAACCCGGAAGTAACTGTTCCAGTTTTCAAACATTCTTTGGAAGCAGAACGTCCGATGTGGCTTCCACGGCTTCCAATTGAGTGCAGGAAGCTCCTGCAGCCAATCGGAAGCTGCACTTTGGTTTTTGAATGGTTCCAGGAGTCGAACGGACTCTCAGAACGTATTAAGTTCGACAACCAAGGTACCACTGTATTACTATAACTATGTGTTCCAAGCTTGTGAAATTTTGTTGTCTTGTTTTATTTTGTGGGAAGCCATCTTGAACACTGTAGATGAGGTACAGTATAAATATTTCGAACGAATGAATGAATACTGTACATCAATAACTAAGGTTGCAAAAATTATACTATGGATATGCTTTGGAGGGTAAACCAGGGAAAATTTCAACAGTGCTTGACATCTGTGTAGAAGCCACTTGACTAGAACTCTTGCCTGGGTTCTCATCCCATATCAGTGTCATTCCTGGATTCATACACTCACCCCAGGCAAATCTCATTAAGTTCAATATTTTCTGCCAAGCACAAATGAAAAGCTACGATAATTTGTGTTTGTTCTGCAGCAAATGGGGTCAGACTGGTTTCTGCTGGGTGTCAGTTTCTCCTGACCACGGTGTCATCTATAAATTGTTGTGTTGATCTGGTCTATAAATATTTGACAAAAAAATGATAACACACAAACACACACATACAGAAGCTAAAAGCGATGCTGAAGATGTCATAGTCTTTTCTTAGAGACAGGTATCTTAGTGGGAGTTTAAAGGTACGGAAATAGCTGCCCAGCATAATGCAAGTTGCAACTGTCCCCTCACCCTTCAATTCACACATAAATATACATATACACTCAAAAAGGAGGAGGACTAAGGGAGGGAAAGCCACATTTTAACCAAAATTATGTATTTACATTCCTAATAGCACAAGTGAAGCAAAAGCTAGGCATGCATTCAAGTTTTACACAGAATTTCCATACCACAAAACAAAACAACCCACTGTAACCGTTATGTCAAATAAAAAAGCCTGTGCTAAAAACCTGAACTGTTTTTTTAAAAATAATTTTTATTAAATTTTCCATTATACAAATTCGCCATATCAAACAATTTTCACAAATTTCAACTTTTTGGACTTCCATCAGCTTCTCTGCCAATCATCCATATTTTTCCATTTTTACGCAATTTCTAAATTTAGTATTGCATTTCACTATAACCCTTACTGTCCTATTTCTGTTTAACAATACTCCTTTGCCTTTCACAAAACCTCTTTAAATCCCACTAGCGTTGTTTGTTCATCACATATACTTTTCAGATATTCAACAAACTTTCCCCAGTCCTCGATGAACTTGTGGTCCCGTTGATATCTAATCTTCCCAGTTAGTTTGTCCAATTCTGCGTAGCTTATAAGTTTCATTCTCCATTCTTCAAGAGTCGGTAGTTCCTCCTGTTTCCATTTTTGGGCCATTAATATTCTTGCTGCTGTTACTGCGTATTGAAAGAGTTTATAGTCCGTCCTATTTATCTCTCTTCCTGTTATTCCTAACAAAAAGGCTTCTGGTTTCTTTACAAATGTATATTTCAACATCTTCTTCAACTCATTATATATCATTTCCCAGAAACCCTTCACTTTCTTGCACTCCCACCACATATGATAAAATGATCCTTCTTTTTCTTTACATTTCCAACACTGCTAAAAACCTGAACTGTTAAAGGGCTGGAAGAAGAGAGGTGAGGTGGACCCCATGAATTATTGCTTCTATTTTCTAGTTCTGGCTTAATTAATTAATTAATAATAAATAGATTTCATTAGAATTTTGTCAACATTTGATAGCCTAAGTCATTGATGGCCAACGGACAGTTTGCAGACCCAACATGCCCTAGTAGTTCCATAGTAGCAGAAAAGGAAAAAAAGAATGCTCTGATTAGCTTTCAGTACATGTGCTTCATAACTCTAAAGCCCTTCCTTTCATCCCTACAGAAATGGCTGGCCATATCATGAGGCACATGGAGCCATGTGACTCAGGCAGCAAATGGTGGGAAGACTATGCCCTTGCCCATCTATAGCCCACAACCAGCCAACCACTGGGGTCCTTCCTCAGAATGAGGCACTGCAGGTGTGGTTGTTTAGAGTGTGGTTGTGCCATCATCTTGCAGTGCTTTAAGATGCCACGTTAAAATACAGTTTAAAATCCTCTTAAAATATAAACTGCATTTCAAAGCTATATTTTCAAGCACTGCAAAGCAGTGCGCAAGTGCTCTCTGCGAAAATGGGCCACGCTGGTATAGACATGGCCTAAGTCATCTCTGTTTTCTTGGTTCCTTTTTAAAAACGTTATCTTTAGTCCTGTTTTTCATAATAGAAGCAAATAACAATAAACCCAGTAAAAACATCTCAAACAATTTTCTTGGTCCTAATTGAATGATGAAGGCTACCCCAGCGTACCTACTGGTCCTGATATAGGACTGTCATGAGAGCAGAATGTAAAACAGGTTGTTTTTTTAGGATTGCTGGATTTTAAATAATTGACATTTTATGGTAAAAAACAAAACCAGATGGAATTAAGTGTGGCTCAAATTATGGTCAAGGACACGTCATCTCGCTGCAAACATCTGGCAACAATTATAGTTCACACCAAATCTTGTCACATGACACTTAAAGACATATCACTTGTCAGCAGACATTTTGTACCCACCCACCCACCCACACAAACATACAGTATCTAATGATTTTACTAGGAAGGAATGACATTTTCTCCAGGCCTGTGACTGCAGCATGCAGTCTAATTTTATGGAAGTTCAATGGCAACTTCCACCATTAAGGCTGCAATCCTAAACACACTTCCTATGAAGCAAACCCCACTGAACACACTAGGACTTACTTCTGAGTAAGCATGAATAGGAATGCACTATTAAGTGCACAAGGATTTCTAAATGTTGTATAAATGTTTTCCTGATCCATGATTTCTTCAGGTAAGTTACCATCCTACTTGTGTTTGGAAACAGAACCTCATTTTCCTCCTCTGAAAATCAGCTTTGGGAGGGGGCAGTTTTCAGGAGTGAAATAATAGGTGGATGGATGCACAAACTTTATTCCACCTGCCAGTTTCTCCTTGCAACTTGCCTTCACGCACTTCAAGAGAGTTCTAGACATGCATTTGCTATTCCAGGAGAAGTGGCATCCCCAGGGTTTTAGTATATCAGAATATGTCATTTTTGTCTCAAACCTTCTCTATCCTACTCCCCAAATCCCTAATTTCTCCACATATACACCCTTGCTTGTAAAGAAGTTTCCACTAAAACCACTTGAGAGTTTCATCCATGAGAACAGGAAGCTTATTCCACCGCATCAATGACTTAGTGCCCTGATCAAGGGAAGTAATAGTCCGCCTTGGTCAGACCATATCTGGCACCACAATTTAAGGAGGATACTGACAAGATGGAACATGGAGGGCAACCAAGATGATTAAGGGTCTGGAAACCAAGCCTTATGAGCAGTGTTCGAAACTCCCATTGTTCTAGGCACATTTTGTGACAGGGAATTTCATTAGTGCGAGCAGTAATGTGCCTAAGATTTCAGATTAAAATTGCAGTGGAAGGAACGGAGCAGCTTTTTCTGCCTCCCCACTTCCAGCTACCCTCTGGAGAAGAGACCCTCTTAAGAATATTGGGGGGGTGGGAAGGGGAAGGACTAGACCATGAAAAACGAACATAATATTTTAGCTGCAGTTCATTCATTTCCAGCTCTGTATTCTTGTTATAAAAAGTGTGCCTCGACGTTCCACCCATAACCTAGGTTTGAGGCGCCATTTAACTCCTAGCTTTCACATTGCAGTTTCTAACACTGCTTAGGAGGAACAGTTGAGAGAACTGGGTATGATTATCTGGTAAAGAGGAGACTGAGAGGAGATATCACAGCCATCTTCAAATATTGAATGGGCTGTCACATGGAGAGTGGAGCAAGCTTGTCTTCTCCTGCTCCAGAGTCTAGGACCCAAACAAATGACTTCAAGAAATTCCAACATCAGGAATAATTGTCCGACAGTAATAGCTGTTCAGCAGTGAAGCAGACTCCGATGAGAGGTGGTGGACTCGCCTTCCTTGGAGGTCTTTAATTAGAGGTTGAGTAGCCATCTGTCATGTATGATCTAGTTGAGACTCCTAGATGACCCTCAGGGGTCCTTCAAACTCTACAATTCTACGATTTTATTAAAAAATTAGTGTAAGGTGGCACCTACAGTTTGCATAGGAGTATAGGATACTTCAATGTGAATATGGCATGAGTAATTCTCTCTTCTTGTCTGCTTCTGAATAATCAATATGCCAGCAGGCACTCTCATCCTGATATAAACTGTTGTGATAGCAGAATTTAAATCATAAACATTTCTTAGAATTGTGCAATGTTTAAATAATTCAAACATGTTGTGGTTGAAATAAAACCAGATGGCTTTATCTAGGTATAAACTCCCCTGAATGCCTCATAATGAATAGTTTACAAAATATCAGCCTTTAAAATGCATTAAACTTTGATTTTTTTTTTTTGTTAATGGCTGTTACTATGGTCTTCTTAGGGCCTCTACACTTACTCAAACAACCCTTTTAACCTGGTACTTAAGGCTGTAGATTTCAGATTATTTCAGTCCTTATAGTTACTGCTGCTCATACTTGTAATTACATAAAATCAAT